GGAACAGGAAGAATGATTTTCCGTTCCATTGTTCCAGGAGCCGTAGCCACCATTGGATATCTTCCTGGCACTCGGTAGTCAGACTGATGCGGTAGTGAGGCTGCTGGTAGCGACTGCAAATAGACCACAGGCGCCGCATAAATGTCCGGCCGGGTACGATGACTCTTGCAGCGAAGAAGAGTTTCCCCAGAAGAGATTCGAGTTCGCGCTGAGACATGGTGGGGTTGATGCTCGCTGCAGTCAACAGGCGCTTGATGTCAGCCAATTTGTCATCAGGGAGCCGGGCTTCCATCTTCCCACAATCCAGGATAATGCCCAGGAATGTCAGGGTACATGACGGGCCTTCCACCTTGGCAGGCGCGAGCGGGACTCCGAGGTATGAGAATGCACGGAGAAGAATGGCCAGCTGCCGATTCGCCACTGCCTGGCCCACGCTCACGCACAATTAGTCGTCCAGGAAATGCAGCAAATTAGGGATTGAGAATTCGTGGTGCATTATCCATTCTACGTACCATCATTGGTATCACGTACCCACAACGAATCTCGAACACAGCGCTGTATGCCAGAACCGAGCAGACCCCACTATCCCAAGTCTGCAGGCAACGGAGACTGCTGTGGTTCGGCCATGTAGTGAGGGAAGGCGAAGAATCGTCCTCTTTCCAAGCCCTCCTAATGTCGATCAACACAACAGACATACGACGACCCCGAGGACGGCCACGTCTGAGATGGATCGACGTTGTCAAGAAAGACTTACAATGCATTAATCTGTCGCTTCTGGATGCTGTGCAATCTGCTTCTGATAGAGCTGCTTGGCTCGAAATTGTTAACAGATGCGTTGACCTCATGCAATGAGTGAAATGCGAACTGTCATTATTATTATTATTATTATTATTATTATCCATTCAATGGTGGCTGCCACTGCATCAAATACCGCCGGGCTAGAGCGGAGCCCAAATGGCAAGACACGGTCGTAGTAGTACTTCCCCTGCCACAGGATGCCGAGGAGATGCCAATCCTGTGGGCGGACAGGTATTTGACGAAAAGCACTCTTCACATCGAGTTTAGAGAGATAAACAGGAGACGGGGAGGACATAATGATGTTAATGGCTTCATCAATGCTGATGTACTGCAAAGAGAAAGGCTCGGCAGGGATCCCGTCGTTAACGCTGGAGCCGGCAGTGCTGGACAGGTGGTGTATAAAGAGTAGCTTGCCATTCTTTTTCGGAACAGCGCCAATGCCAGAGCAGTACATAAATGGGAATGGGGGCGAGTCAAATGGGCCAGGCATGTGGCCGGCGTTGCAGGAAGCGGTGAGCTGTGCAGACAAAAATGCAGAGTGCTGTAATGCTGATGAGAGGTTGGACGAGTGCTGGTTAGTTATGCGGTTGACGGTAAAGCCAATGTGAAAGCCGCAGCGGAGGCCGTTAATAACATACGAAGGCAATGAACTGTCAGGGTGGTTACGGAGCAGTGATTCGAAGCGAGAAACAGAGAGGGGCGTGTGGACAGCAGGACATGCGCTTGTGAAATCAGTAGAACGTGAAGTGCAGGGAGAAATATGTACAATCGCGGGAGCTGCAGCCAAAGCAGCAGAGTTACTGGCGCCTACCGCACTTAGATCCGTTGTGGTCCTTGGACCCGCAGCGGTTGCAGACATGGGCGTACTTGCACGTGCTGAGACTGCAACGCCCAGCGTTGAAGTTCCGGCAGATCGGTTGGCCATTAGACACCGTACGGACTGCATTGAAGGCTTGCTGGTTGTTACGTTGCGGACGAAAGGGACACTGGCCGCCTCCGGGATGGACGAGGCGGCAGGACTCACATGTGGGCCTTGATCGGCTAGTCACGGACATTTGCCACAGATTTATGTCGATGACGTCAAAGCGCTTGCCTGGCTGAGCAGAAATGGCAGGGCGAAACTGGGTGTCGTACGACAGCCAAGCCTCCGGATAGTATTGCCTGTTGGCTGCAACTATGGTGGCTTGGTAGGAGAGCATCTTCTGCAGGCGGGACGGGTTGGCAGAACACACGACGTTCATGAAGAGAGTCCATGCCTCCAGCCATGTCGGCAAGTCGTGGACGCGTCGACAAACGGGCTGCGCCACTCCACCTTCCACCACCTCCAGAGACTGGCTGCCACTGCTGAACTGCAGCTGAAGCTGGCGTGGGGCAGAATCGAGGTGGCGATAGTATCGGGCAGCAGCTGGGTGAAATCTACAAAGTCACCCTTCAACATTTTCTCTCGTATAGTCTGGGGAACGGAGAGATTACCAGCGTTGGAAGACTCCGCCGAAGGTTGAATTCCAGCAGATGCAGGGGCAGTGATGGTGGCCAGCATTGGAGCGATCGCCTACGACAAGGCAACGGTGACGGCGGAATGTACTTCCTGCCGCACAAACTGGCGCAAATCGTCATTCCTGCTCCGGTCTGGGATCTAGGCAGTCGGAGAAGCTGCTGCATCACTCTCCAGATCCTGCTCTTGCTCCTGCTCGTGCTCCTGCAGCAAGGATGGCGTGGCCGACGGAGATCGAGGTTCCCGTGTCAGCGCAGCAAGAGCTACCCAAGGCGATTTGGGCGCGCATGCGCAGCAGTTGAGTGCACGTGTCAAGCCAGCTCAGCCGCAGCTAGCATGAGATAGAGAGCAGCGCATCGGTCTTATCGCTAACTAGGGTTAGCCCAAAAGCTAACCCAACATGTAAAAGAAGCTCTCGCTCTCTCTCCTACTGCAGTCGAGACTCGGTCTCAGCTCTCTGTCTTGGTTTACTTTGAGCTCGGATTTGAATGACTACTCACAACGTAAAACTAACAGTCTTTGTCGGTTGATCGTGTGGGGATGAACTTGGACCAAGCCAGCTATATTGGTTGGCCCCTGGGATGTGCTGGGCTTGTCGTGAGGCCACACGTCTATTCAGTCGCCGCTCGTAGTGATTCTTGGGTCTGATCACTGAGAGCCAGGGATGCGACACATTAAATTTGTATTGCATTTTCCTCCATTGTGTTTCTTTCGACGGTAAAAGAGGCTTCATACACTACTCTCGGGATCTCGGGGATTTCAAATAAGAACTCCCGGTAGAGTGACGTGTTTTTGTTTGATACAGAATGTTCCTGAAAACTCCATGCATTACCCTCGAATGTCCCTTTATTTCTTCAAAACATTACGCTGCGCACTTGCACTTCCGACTATGCACTGCACTTTCAAGACCTGACCAGCCTAGCCTGCAAGATCTGCACTGCCTTTTCGTTTGACCTCTGTTTTCCATTCTTCTCCTGCGCCCTCGTCATTTGTTGTTATACTAATAGGAATGGAGACACAATCAAGAGTTCGCGTTGTGTGGCGGGGGCCACGGGGCCAACAACGCTATTTCCATTTCACTAAGTCCCCATCCAAATAGCAAAGGGATATCCTGCTACAGCCGACAATCACAGTTGATACGCAAAGAGGAAATGGCATTAAGGACGAGCGCAATCAGATCCTACACAGAGAGGTTGCGTTTACCTGATTGTAACGAGCAAGACTTTGAAAGAAAGTCAGAGCCCATCGAGTGAATGGAAGACGGTGTCCAGATGTCCAGAGCAGTAACTGGGTACCGTCAAGAAGTGAAGCCCTAATAGTTGGATGTAAAGGGTTACACGCATTAGATCCCTTGACAGCCACGCACAGTAAATGGAGCAGCAAATTGTCCTACGTTTTCAGAGCTGCCCCACCCTGTCTAAAGGAAAATCATGTATCCCTGTATAACTTACAAATGTTCTATAGTTTTAGGAAACGCGGAACGAAGATTTTAATTATGGCCTTTAGATTACAGTCAGACCTCGCTTAACCGCACATATCTGTTTTCCACAAAAATATCCGGATAGGCGAGGGAACCGGACAACTGAACACACATACTGTATTTGCATGTGGCATGTCAAAAGCAGTGGCACCGTACATACATACATGATACCTGTACATGTAGACGGGTCCTATGCAGTACAACTAGCGTGCACAGTATGTAAAACAAACGAGAAAAATGACAAGTGCATGCAACTGAGCGCTGTCCACCTGGTCCACATGCACCCAGCAGGTCAAGGACCTCATTTGCCTGTACAACTCCCTGATTATAGTATACTGTATAGCTTCTGCAAGCCACATGCAACCGGATACGACGAAGCTTTTTGTGCACATTTTAACCAGTTTGTACACAAAATCATGCACCGGTATGCGGATCGCGAGGTCCGGTTATGTTGTATGCATAACATATGCTGCACATCGGTAACCAGCGATTTTCTTCCGGATGGCGAGGGATCCGGATTAACGAGGACCGGATAAGCGAGGTCTGACTGTACTAATAATATTATTGAATCCATGAGTCATTCGCCCTTTGTGGATAATTCTCTAAAACAATGACAGATTCTACTTGAAAAGCATTGCAATTTCCAGAACCTTCAACCTTATAGCACGCACTTCCATTATTTCTGCTCCATTTCTTCATGTACGTAACAAAAATGGCGGTTGCCAACATAACAAACTATTAACTACACGAACCATAAAAAACGGGTTTTTGTACCTTTTCTCCCGCCATTATCCACCAAAGACTATGAGTCTATGAGTCCCTGGGGAAGTCCCCGTTTAGGTATACTTTTTAACGTCATATTCAGTTCTCACGCAATTTGTAACAATTCAAGCCAGTATATATTTTCATGCTTGGGTGGTTAGGTATTTTCTGCAGTGTCAAATAAAGTAACTTCAGAAATTGCGTTTTCTTAGCTTTGCAACAAACCTCAAACCTCATGCTTGACAATGGAAAGAAAAATGACGGAAACTGTATGTTACAGTGGTATATGTGAACTGTGCAACCTTACCAAGTTGCATATGAATCACGTTGTGGTTAGAAGTCTCCTGAAAACAGCGTCATGATTCGGACTTTTAGATTAGAACCACTATACCGTAGACTCGGTGTTTTGTGCACTACCCGGAACTAAGCAAGAACAACATTGTCTTTGTGCTTTGTCGTTTGCAGATATTTGGATGGTAATCAGATCCAGACTTTAAGTGACGGTGTGTTCTCTGGTCTAACAAACCTCCAAACACTGTAAGTATTATCAACTGCACCATTTAACGCAGGGAATAGTAATTATACCTGTGTGTATATAGAGTACTGCTGGAAACGTGATGAACAACCCTCTAATATCTGTGAGTATTATTATCTGCTGCACTGATTGAAGGAAACAGTTGTAGACGCTGTGTGTAAAATGCTTTGTTATGAAGCCTCTGATTCTCGTAAGTGTCAGGAACGAGTGACCACACGTCACGAGGACAACTACTTTTTCTTAACTGTATATGTTGGAAAAGAATTCAGGTGGACACACCCATTCCCATACCGCTGCACATCACATCCGAACCTGTTCCGTTATTTTTACAACGTGTCGGCACTTGGCCATCGTCAGGTAATAACAATGAATACCGTGGAAGCCACACAAGAGCAGTATATATATAGGCAGAGTGTAGCGCCAAAAAAATGCGAATTATGTCACCTAGTATGCAGAAACGGGGGGGGGCAGAGAGAGAGAGAGAGAAAAGGCGCAACTAGCACATCACAGAGGAGAAGGCAGCGCGCATTGTGCTCTGTGAACGGCGTTACACAGAGTGTAGCGGCAAAAAAATAAAATAATGATGCGAGTTATGTCACCTCTATACAGAGGGAGGACAGAAGGTGCAACTGTGCACATCACTGAGGAGAAGAGCGCGCCGTTGTGCTCTACGAAGTGAGGGTACATGCCAAATAATTATGGTGTAAATTCTAGCGCATTACAGGAGGGGAGCACGGAGGCCCATGCGCCAATGCACTATGAGGTTAAACTTCCATGCCAAACTGTTACCACCAGAGACGCGACGAGGCATCAGGAACCGAATGGATTTGATCAGTGCCGGCAATGCAAATGTAAACGTGATGGTCGGGCTTGTTTGGATTGCAAACCTGGCGTGAGTGAGAAATGTCGGAATCCTCACAACATCTCGTTAATCTTGCCGGACGGCGATGTGGGTCCTCTGTTTCCAGTGAACCACGTGGTATTGTCCAATGCCGGCGGTGGTGGTAAGTCGAACCATACCCATAATGCTGTTTTTCGGATGGCGGCTGCTGATGAGAGTGCACATGTGGGTGATGACCTTTCAACAGTGCCAGTGGCTGTTGTTTCTCGTTGCAGTTTCGTGGCTGGACCTTTGCGTGCAAGCGTCCCTGTCGCATTGGTTCCTGAGAGTAACGACCTTGATGCTGTCCATGGCGTTTGTGCTGCTTCGTCATGTGCATCAATTGCGCATGATGGTGGTGAGGTTCATTGTGCTCAGCCATTGGCGGAATCTTCTCCAGAGAAACATGTTCAGGATCGACCCTTGTCGACCACAGTAGTACCTGGTGTGGATGACTGCGGCCATGTGACAGCCCCTCGTGAAACATTTTGTCTGGGGAATTTGACGGCATCTGAGACTATGACGGCTCTTTCCACAGCATATGACAAGTGTGTGCATCTTGCTCCGAATGCATTTCAAGTGCCTTGCGGAAATGTTGGCCGGAGATTTATAACAACTCTATCTACTTTTTTCAACTGTTTTGGTGATGCAGGATCATACGTTGATTGTGGCAGCAGTATTTCAGATGCTGATGCTGCAGGGTCGGCGCAGTGATCCTCCTGCTCATGCCAAGCTCCTGGACAGGCGTTTGGACCAGTGGTTTCATGGTCAGATTAATGCATTATTGTTGGAAACAGAGACTATCCACAATCTCCGAGAGAAGTCCAGTACAAGGGGTCGAGGTCGTCCTGATGATCTTGCATGAGAGTTTGCGGTTTGTGTCGCATCTGGGAGGCTATCGGCTGCTCTGCGCTGCCTTGGTGCTGATCGTGGTGGTGGAGTGCACAGCATCAGTGATAAAATTGACGGTGTTCCAGTAATGGATATATTAAAGCAGAAGCATTATGAGGCTAAGCCCGTGTGCGACGAGGCTCTGATAGGGGGACAGCCGCCTCCTCCTCCGCATCCCATCTATTTCGCTTCGCTGGGGTGCCGTGCTATCCAACGGCCAGCGCTAGGCACACAGGGCGCACTGGGACTGTTATAACGTACTCCATGCAACTCGCGAATACCACAGCAGGAAACACCATCTGGTTTGTTCTAGGATAATTTAGAAGTGAACATGTAAAATGGCAATCATGGAGAGATAAGCAGCAGAGACACGCCAGTGCTGTCGTGGCACTAATGGCGCTATGACACGACAGTATAGGCCTCGTCAGCTCGTACCAAAGTAAGACACAAGTCAGCCATGCAGACGTAATGCAGAAGAAGACTGATTCATAATGAGGTAAGACATTGTCACTCTTCGTCATGCATACATCAAAGGAGCGTAGAACGACACACGTAGAACACACGTAGAACGACACACGTAGCAGAACGTAGATCGTAGATCGTACGACTAATATAAATAATAGATCAATCTATAACAATCCTCCTTCCTTAAAGAAGTAGTGAAGTGGGACTAGCAATAATGCATATATACTCAAAATGCATCCAAACAACTATATACAAGAGCAAATCCTTATATCCGACTAACTATGATACAACACTATGCTATTACAGACAAATAGCGGAATTGGACACTCTAAGGCAATGTCAGAATTGCTAGGCGAGTCACTCATGACTAATGCTAAGATAGTCACTCAATACTCACAAATTTAAGCGATCAGGGGCACGGCGCATTCTTGATGGATAGCGCGGTGACACTGGAGTTGACGAAACAGGCACTGACACATCAGGCATACTAACAGGAGTAGCGACTTGAACTGTATCAGGCATACTAACAGGAGTAGCAGCAGTAGTAGACATACTAGGCGTAGCAGTAGTAGGCGTACTAGACGTAGCAGTAGTAGGCGTACTAGGCATAGTAGTAGCTGCTGTATCAATGACAGGAGACGACTGAGCCGGCGGTGAAGCTGGTAACCCAGGAGTCGGCGTTGCTTTAGCGACTGTCGGAGTAACACTCGGCGTAGACACTGTCGGAATGGCGTCGGACTCGGCCGATAAACTAGCAGACTCAGCTGTTCTGGACTTCAAATGATCAATGTGCACTTTTCGGACGACTCCTCCTACCATCACAGAAAAGGTCATCGTACTGAGTCGTTTGCATATTAAACCTTCTAGCCATTTCGGCTTAAAGCCAGGACGAGCATTGTACACCCACACTGGAGCATTCACTGTGAACTCACGAGACGCAGTACTGTCGAGTTCATGGGCCTGCTGCAAAGCCGTGGCGAAACTTGGTTGCAGCAGCGCCAAACGCGTGGTCGGGGCTTTCTTCAATAGAATACTCGCGGGACTCTGCTTAGTAGCGCTGTGCGGCGTGTTTCTGTAATCGAAAAGAAAGCGAGACACTTGCACACATACAGACACATGGTGAGGTCTTGCTCGCAAAGCCTTCTTCAGCTCTTGCACCATCCGCTCACACTGTCCGTTGCTGGCGGGATGATAGGGCGGTGTACGATGATGCTTAATACCATTCTGGGCACAGAAAGCAGCAAACTCGCCAGAGGCAAATTGTGGGCCGTTATCAGATACTAGCACTCTAGGAATACCAAATGTACTGATGAACCGTAGCAAACAGTTCACTGTTTTAGTAGTCGTAGCGGAGGAACCAAGCTCGTATACATCAATCCACTTAGAGAATGCATCAACTATGACCAGAAACTGTTGCGACTCGAACTCAGAAAAATCAAGATGCACACGCTCAAAAGCAGCATTGGGGTATGCCCAATGGTGGACAGAGTCCTTGCGGGTCAGATTAGAGGTTTCCTGACAAAGACTGCAATCGGCGGCTAATCGTTCGATATCGGCATCTAAGCCTGGCCACCAGAAAATGCTTCGTGCCACACTCTTCATTCGAGACACACCGGCATGTGAAGAATGCAGTTCCTCTAATAAGTGGCGTCTAAACTGAACTGGAATAATAACGCGGGAACTCCACAGCAAACAACCATGCTCAATACTTAGGTCATTCCGGATGCGGCTATACGGCACTAACCTGTCGGGAACTGTAGCAGGCCAACCATGCAGCGTGTAGGACATTACTAACGAAATGTCAGAATCGTATTTGCTAGCCTTGGCAACATCCGAACTCTGTAGAGGCATCAACTCGCAGGGGTCAAATGCATGGATGCTGACTGCACTAACAATTGCAGACATTTCAGCAGCAGACAATGGTAAAGGCAGACGAGACAGACAATCTGCTAGCACATTTTCTTTACCTGGAATATGCTCAATGATGTAGTCGTACTCAGCGAGAATCACGGCCCAGCGCTGTAGACGGGATGCCGACGTCTTGCTTAACGACTCGTGCTCGCCGAAGATCTTGATTAGAGGCTTATGGTCGGTGCGCAGAATGAACTTACGACCGTAGATGTACTGGTGTAAACGACGAACAGCAAACACGATAGCTAACGCCTCTCGCTCAATCTGGCTGTAATGACTCTCTGCTTTGGACTAAGCACGTGACACATAATACAACTGGCGGAACAGACTGGTCCGGCATGACATGTAGAATCACCAATACCAGCAGGGGATGCATCACACTCTAAGATCAGTGGTAAGGTAACATCATAATGGGCCATAACAGGATCGGCGATGAGAAACTCTTTAACTTTCGCAAACGCCGACTGACATGCATCCGTCCAATTAAAGACTACATCCTTCTTTAACAACTCGTTCAGGGTTGTAACAGCGAGGAGCAATTGGGGATAAACCGCCCAAAGAAATTCACGAGCCCCAGAAACGAACGCAAGGTAGATACATCATGGGGCCTCGGGGCATTCTGAATACTCAAAACCTTATCCCGACTGGGCTGTAGACCAGCCTTCGACAATGTAAACCCAAGGTAACTAACTTGTGGCTTACCAATCTCATATTTCTCACGACGCAATCACAGCCCTGTCTCAGCTAAACGACGGAGGACTGCTTGTAGACGCTCGTCGTGTTGTTGCTGGGTGTTACCACAAATGAGAATATCGTCGAAATAGACAACGACACCTTCTAGACCTTGTAGAACCT